CCTTTGAGAAGTCCCGGAGTAGCATGTGGCAAAGATGGTTTTCAATGATCACTATTTGTAATCATGGTGAAGAGGGAGTCCCTGTTTCTCATAGGCCAATGTCCTCAGTGCTTTTGTAAACATCATTTAATTTTCAAAGTATTTTCACAAACAACTGCCATTTTTAATCCACTGAGAAAATGTGAGAGTTATCCTCAACCTCAATTTGTAAGTGGAAAAAAAAAATAGGCCTTCAGACCTTCTCGTGAACTGGGCAGGTCTTACGGCTCGTCGGGGACTCGTTTCCCCACGTCCTTGTTTTCTGTGCCAACACTCGCTGCTATCGACAGTATCTTCAGGGGAAGGTCAGAGGCTTGGTGCCTAGTGCAATAATGCCTTTGTGTTGTTGTGTTTTCATGTTGTGGCTAATGAATAGGTTACACAGGGTACAGAATGAGGAAGAGAGTGTGGAGTCAGCGTGGCCACTGCCGGTCGCCTCCCCTGCCAGGGGGCTCACGGCGGGGCCTGGAGCAGATTCCCGAGCGGACGGTGCTCTGAGGGAAGGCAGGCTACTTACTGAGCAGGACTGTAAGTTGAGGCTCACGAGCTCATGGCAGTAATTCTGAATGTGTTTCAGAGCTTCATCTTCTAACTGAGTGGACAGAGGCAAAGAGAGAAACGGAATCCAGGTGAGGGAAGTGGTGGTGGTATTGGGGGGGACGGGGGCGTGGCATTCCAAGAAGAATGCTATGTCGAGGTCCCTGGTGAAGTCCCCACACTCAACCCACAGGATGGACACAGCTGTGTCGACCCCTCAGTACCTGAGTGCAGCCCCTCAGGAGCAGAGCCTTCAGTCCCCGACAGCCTCGCACCAGGGCCTCGATGCCATCCTTTGTGATCTGATCGCACCACGAGAGGTTCAGGTACTCTAGGTTTCGGCAGCCCTCGCTGAGAGAACAACAGAACCCAGGTGCCCACCTAATCCAGGGTGAAGGGCACCCGTGCAACCTGCCCTCACCGCCCATTTCCTGCACCAGAGGGACGTGAGGACTGTCCCAAACACAACAGAGTATTCACCGCTGGGCAGCTGTTTCTCTTATCCACAAACTGCAGGCGCTCTTACCTGATCCCTTTTAGAGAGCTGTTTGTAACGGACACACAAGAAGTTAGATCCAGATGTTTCAGCTTGGAACAGAATCTGCTAAGGCTATAACACGTGCTGTGAAAAAGCAGACAAACTAAAGATATTTTCAACCGTGTTTCTTCCCCCTCACTCTCCCCCCGGCTCTTTGATCTCCAGACTAATCCACATTCCTTACCTGTCAGTGATTTTTGTGCACCCATTGAGGTTTAAGTGTTCGATGTTTCGGCAGTTTTGTGCAAAGGTCCTGAAACGAGAAGACGTTTTTTCAAACTCCCTCAGGAGAGGTGCAAAGCACTAAGCCACCACCAGAGGGCCTGTGTCCACACCCAGACAATGCTCCTTCAAGCTGGGGCCTTGGTCTCCCTGCAGTTTCTGGACAGTCCACTCTCTTAAGAAGTTCCCAGGAAGACTGGTGCTGCTAGCCAAGCACCACACGTGGAGGAGCAAAGCTCCACACCGGCTCCCTGGGTGCGGACTCCTCTTGATCCACACCTCGGTGAGCCTTCGGGGAACGGAGGACTTGCTCTCT